AAAAAAAAAAAAAAAAAAAACAAGCCAGGTGTGGTGGCACACACCTGTAATCACAGCACTGAGTCTTGAGGCAGAAAGATCACAATTTCAAGCCCAACCTCAATTTAGCCAGACTTTGTCTCAAAAAAATGGGCTAGGGATGTAGCTCAGCATTCAGAACCTAGATTCAATCCCTCATACCAAAAAAAAAAAAAAAAAAAAAAAAAAAAAAAAATCCCACCACATAACTAGAAGCTGCAGGATGTTTGTTTTAGAGTAACACTTCCAATGCTGGGTACCTGCTGAGGACAGGGTGACTCCCTACTATCTCTCCTTCAGTTTAGAAATATCCCAGCTGCTTCTGTGCTTAGAGCTTAACACAGCAATTATACAATAAGCCGAAAGAGCAATACCTGAGAGGGTTGATGTGGCAGCCCGAAGCATGTAAAACCACAAGTAGGGACCCCAGGTAAGTTTTGTCTGCAACAAGAAGTCAAGTTAGCAACACACACCTAAACTCATACTATAGATTTCAGGCCTGAATGGAACAAATACTTGGTAGGTGCACAGAATATTCTACTAGGCAGTATGATAACTGACTACAGCGCAATCAGAAAATGTAAATCTTTACAAAGATATTTCACATTCCTCATTTGCCCTGTACCTACCACCACCTTAAGCCCATGGAAGAACAACCCCCCAAAAGCAACTGAAATCGAGTTAGTAATGCACAGTGTAAACCGTAGTCTGACACACTACAGTAGGGAAGTGAAGGTTTTGCTTTAGAGAGGTTACATGGGATAAATTGGGGCATAGCAAATGATCTCTCACTCGACCCCCCCAACATTTTGTTTTTGCTTTTTGGTGGTGGTACTGGGTTTTGAATCTAGCGCTTCCTGTTTGCTGAGCTACAACCACAGCCCTATTTTATTTTGAGACAGGATCTCACCGAGTTGCCCAGAGTAGAAGGGATTACAGGCATGCCCCACCACTCCCAACTTCAACTGAGCTTTTAATGGCAAGAAAATAAAAGACAAGTGTCAAAATAAATTAAGACTTTTAAAAAGGATAGAGAATATATAGCCCAAGACAAGTTCATTGTGTATGTGGTAGGCCAAGACTACTGGCAGAATGCAGTCCACACTGTACGCTGCCATCGTTAATCCTGGGTCTTTCATTCCAAACAGGGCTTGTATGGTTTGCCTCTATGAATAAAACTGATAATACAAGGCATGCTTTACTAAGCCAATGTTTTTGTTTATCAACAGAAAACATTCAGCCTGCAATCAAATACATTAATGATTGCTTTAATATTGCTTCGAAGGAGGAACAGACTTATTCATCATCTTTTTAACATTAATGATTATAAGGACATTAAAAAGATAAACACTAGAATATCTGTTAAGACTAAACAGTGCTGCCATGAAAAGTGGGTATACCAATTTCTGTGACGGTGTATCTGAAGACACAGCTCTAACAAATGGATTCAACCAAGAAAATACTGCATATTAGTGATGTCCGAGATTGAAAACTGCTATATCCTATCTTCACAGCAGGCTGGGTCTCTTAAATGGAATAAGGGTTATTTTAGGGGTGTTATTTAAAATGCTCTTGCCTTGGTGGTTGGTTTACAGCAAAGGGGAAAGTGGAAGAAGTATAAGGAATGAAACCAATTTCTGTAACATAAATGATAGGGCCAAGGGGCAGGCATGGTTTGGAGGAAGGGTTCACATTTCTCAGTTGGGGCAATTCTGGAGTCGCGGCTAGAGTTAACAACTACTAATATGCAGGTGAAGACTGCCGCCCACCCCTCCCTTTAAACCTGCTCCAGAGTTGAGGAACTGGATAGATTCCAGAATTACACCTATCATTATCCCATACAATTACATAGAAATGATTTGTCAGAACACTGACCTTACCGAACCAGAATGACAGATGGCTCAGCTAGGCACAGAGATACGTAACTGTAATCCCAGCAATCTGGGTGGCTGAGGCTGAGACTGTGTATGTTTGAGCCCAGCCTAGAAACTTAGCATTTAATGAGACCATGTCTCAGAAATTTTTAAAAAGGACTGGGGATATAGCTCAGTGTAAAAGCCCTGGGTTCAATCCCCAAAACTGGGTGAGGGGCAAGTGGCTGACAAACTTACACTGTAACCTGCCAAAACTTCCAGCAACAGCACCACCCCCATCCCAGCAATATCAAGACTGGAACAAGGTCTTGGGTCTATGAGGCTTTCAGTTTATGGTGCTGAAATTTTGTTCTCTTAAAAATGTAAGTATTGTGCTCACTTTGGCAGCACATAGACTAAAAAAATTTAAGAATCCATCTTTTTCCTTCCTTATCAAGACCAGCTACCTTTAATTAACCTATTTTCAGATTATAAAAGTAATGTTTACTGTAGAACACTTAAAAATGGAGTCACCCACCACTCAGAGATAATTATTAACATTTCAGTGTCTTTTCACTCTTTCTCTGACAGAGAATATGTGTATATGTATGTGTATATATATTATTTTCTAGTACTGGGGACTGAAACCAAGGACTTCCCACTGAACTTTTATCCCCAATCCTTTTTTTTTTTTTTTTTTTAACAGAGCCACTGTTTTGGTAAATTGCTAAGTTGCCTGGGCTAGACTTGAACTTGTGACCTTCCTGCCTCAGCATCCAGAACAGCTGAGATGAAAGGTGTGCACCACTGCGCCCAGTTTGGGTATATATGTATTTTAGAACACTGTTGTGCTATATTTTTCTCTTTTCTGTTTGTTCCCCATTTACTATAATTGTAAGCATATTTCACTATATGCTTAAATTCCTAAAAGGAAAATGTGATCCTTTAGAAAGCCCTTTACTTTACACTGCAAAACTTCACACTAGAAAGTTTATCAGTGAAGATTCAGCAGCAATGGATGACGCTGCCTATCTCTTGTAGGCCTATCATAGAAAGTCCTTTTTGTCTTTCAAAAAAATCTCGCAGGCAAAAAAATGGGCCAATAACTTTAAATTCAGACTACAGTATTTCTTA